GGGCCCCGGTGCCAAGGCAACCAGCCCGCCATGCGAGATAGACAAATGGTTATGGGTTTTCTTTTTTTTTTTTTTCCTTCCCCTCCTGGTTCTTGGCAGAAAGTAAAATGTCCCTTTTGTTTGGTTTCCTCCTCCCCCTGCCCCATCGCCTTTCTTTAAAGGTTGTGTTCCAGATTTCATCAACCCACGTTGTGTCATAGCCCTGGAGAATGGCATGGGCACTGGCCATGTCCCACCGAGGCCGTGGCAGAGCTGCTTCTCAGGAGCTTGACCGCGGGGTTACCTGCTCAGAAACCACCTTGTGTACAGTCACTGAGCGAAGCTCCGTTGTATTTTGGATTGAGCTCCTATGATGCACACATATTAGAGATGATCGGGAATGTACTTGGAGAAAATTCAGAAATTTTGGAATCTAAATAATCCTGTATTTCTACCTCAGCCCTGCAAAACTGTGTGGAAATGAGGGACTCTTGCAGGTAAACCCTGTTGACTTACAGCATCAGCCCCTACACCTGGGAGTTCATCGCCCATGGGGCATCCAGCACTGTCCATCCTCCTGCCACAGCACCTGGGTCTCCCCAGTAATGCCCTTCTTGGGATTTCTTCCTTCGGGCTTGTAAGAGGTCCCCATTCTTTCTTTCCCTCCTTTCCACTGTCCAAGGTGGGGGATGCTGCAGTTGTTGGGCTCTCCATCCTAAGAGCATCCATCCAAAGGTCTCTGCATCTCATCCAGAGGCTTCTGGGGTTGTGGACGTGGAGAGCACGGCATGGCTTGTGTCCTTGGCACCCGGGAAGGGAGAGGAGGAGGAGGAGGAGGAGAAGAGCGTACTATAGGCTTTGTGTAGTATGGAGGGGGATACTGTGAGTACGTGTGTGTGTAAATATGGATCTGTCATACCAGAGGGAAACAGCAACGCGATTGTTTCTTGGCTCCGGTTCTTCTGCTGATACTGGCAGCGTGGAGAGCTGTAGCTGCTCATACAGTGTGGGTGCTGCCTTCGGCGGGGGGCTGCTCCGCTCACCAGCCCGGAGGCGGCCGGTGGCCCAGAGGAGAGCTTCATGGTGCTGGTAATGGTGTGCTCTGCTTGTGCACCCTGCTGTGCTTCTACTCCTCTTCCCAGTTAAAAGACACCCAGACACCAGATCCAGGTGCGGGGTAGCTGTGTGCTCCATCCCGTTGACAGCAGCATGGGAAATGGCAAAGGCAGGGCCAGCGCCTGGGGACAGGGCTGTCCCTGAGGCAGAGACCTGCAGAAGCCAAGCAGCTGGAGCCAGAGCTGAGCCTGAGCGTCCACCCCTGCCTCACCCGGACACGAAGCCTCCCCATGGCCCCAGGGTCTGATGCTGGGTTCGACCTTGTATCAAAGCATCTGCTCTTCAAAGGGCTGGTTGAAGTCCCAGCCTTGTTATTGTTTCGGCGTCTCTGCTGTATAACACCTCCCTGCTTTTGCATTTGTTTATTCCCTTCTGATTGCTGGAGCCACACAGTCTTCACCTGGCCTGGGACCAGCACGGGGACCCGCTCTGCTCATCCTTCCCTGGGGATCCCCAGCCCTGAGAAACCCCCCAGTGCAGAAACGGGTGCTCAGGGGCAGGGAAGGGGTCTGCGTGTCCTCATCCCCTGCTGCAGAGCCTCTCCCATCTCCCCTGCTCCCACACCACCGCCCCGCAGCTTTGGCACGCGAGGGCTGTCCCTGTTCTCCTGGTTTCTTGGGGAAA